AAATTTTTTTTTACATTTATTTTTATTAGTTGGAGGCAAATTACAATATTGTAAAAATGGAAACTGCTAATATATTTCACACTCAAAATTCATTATATATATATGCTTTATCTTACAGGGCAGTTTAAGGTTCACACAAAAATGAGAGGAAATTGCAGAGTTCCCGCAACCCCCTCCTGACCGACCCAACACTGTAGTGTTCCCTTTTATTAACATCTTGCATCACTGTGGTACCTTTGTTACAGCTGAGTCAACATTGGTTCACTACCGTTAACTAAAGTCCTGAAGTTTACATTGGGGTTTGTTTTTTTGTGTTGTATATTATGTGGGTTTTGACCAATGTATAATGATATGTATCTACCATTCGGTGGCATACAAACAGTTTAACTGCCCTTAAACTCCTGTGTTCCACCTATTCATGCTGTTCTCCTTCCCTGCTAACAGCTAGCAACTACAAATCTAGCAAAGCTCCATAGTTTTACCTTTTCCAGGTCATGTGGTTATAATACAGAATGCAGCTGTCAACCTGAAATATGCAGTTAAGGTTCCGCCAAATCTTGTTAGGACAGGATAGCTATTTCCTTATGTGGCTAAATACCTTTCCACTATATATGGACTTTTATAGAAGCTTGATATATATATATGCTTTATCTTACAGGGCAGTTTAAGGTTCACACAAAAATGAGAGGAAATTGCAGAGTTCCCGCAACCCCCTCCTGACCGACCCAACACTGCAGTGTTCCCTTTTATTAACATCTTGCATCACTGTGGTACCTTTGTTACGGCTGAGTCAACATTGGTTCACTACTGTTAACTAAAGTCCTGAAGTTTACATTGGGGTTTGTTTTTTTGTGTTGTATATTATGTGGGTTTTGACCAATGTATAATGATGTATATCTACCATTCGGTGGCATACAAAACAGTTTGACTGCCCTTAAACTCCTGTGTTCCACCTATTCATGCTGTTCTCCTTCCCTGCTAACAGCTAGCAACTACAAATCTAGCAAATCTCCATAGTTTTACCTTTTCCAGGTCATGTGGTTATAATCATACAGAACGCAGCTGTCAACCTGAAATATGTAGTTAAGGTTCCGCCAAATCTTGTTAGGACAGGATAGCTATTTCCTTATGTGGCTAAATACCTTTCCACTATATATGGACTTTTATAGAAGCTTGCCTATCCATTCACCAGTGTAAGGACATCTTTATTGCTCCCAAGGGAAAACTAACCATGCTCTGTGTTCCAGCTACTTTCTAATACTTAACCTTAGCCTGATGGGTGAATCTCTAAACTGAATATCTTTATTCTCATTTTCAGGTGAAAAAACTGAGCATCTAGCTACACATAGCTAGCATATGGGATTTGCAGTCTCCTAGGATGAGTCAGATGTGCAGAAATGTAACTTTAATTCTTTATACCTGAACTCAGATTTCTGAGCCCCTGTTTCTGCTGATAGCAGAAAACATGGAATATTTCCAGTGAAAAGTGGCTCAGTCACTTCTCCTTTAAAACTTGGTCTCTTCTGTACCAGGAATAAATGAGATTTGGGATTCTCTCTTCCCCTTCCTTTCTGTTGATCTGGTGAGTCCCATGGTACAGATGTTTATGTGGTTCATCTATGGCTTCCCAGAGGTGCCTCCTGGCTAGGGTTTTGGGAGCGGTCCTCCACCTTTGCATCCCTTACTGAAGTTCCCCAGCTGACTTTAACTCACTGAGTTTCTGAAGAAAGCAAGGCACGTGGTTCTGGGCTTGCCTGGCCCCACCTGGGTGCTCCCTGAGGTCGCTCCAACACATCTTCCACATGTTCTCTCTCGGAACCTTTCATCCATAACCCTGCGATGATGCTGCCCCTCCACAACGTCCCGAAGGGCATGTTGATACTCTGCTTTTCAGAGCTGCAAGAACATTTTTAAGTATCTTGGTGCCCCCATTAGAGCCAAAAAAGAATGGCGGAATAGAGGATGTTTCAAGAATACAGTTCTAAGAGACACAAAGAGGCAGATGACATTTTGCAAATAAATAGTTTACAGAATAAGTCAGCAAAGCATGCATGAAACAGAGCAATTTCAAAAGTGCCTTGCTCAACAGCACAGTTTGTTCAAAAGGTCAGTATTATCGTCAGATACTGCAATGCCCTTTGGTTGTGTAGTTTCTGAAATTTAACCACCTACACAAAGAAAATATTAGTTAGGAAAAATAAAAAAATTACTAAGGTACTGTTACAGATATTAGGTGATCTGACACAAATATATTGTCTAGAAAAACTTTTCATCAACATGTAATTTTATTTTTTTTCCTAGATTGTTGTGCATGTGTCAGGGTTGCTCCCTACTTGCTTAGAAGTTTGTTTCTATAACTGAGATTCCTAGCCTAGAATGATCATGGGAAAAATGGAGAAGAAAGTACTTTGACACATGTAGACTGCTTTGGAAAGTGCTGGCTCTAAATGTCCAGGGGTACAATGTGTGGGATGTCAAATCTTTTACCTGTTTATTTCATGGAAGGTGTAGCATAAAGACAAACTTCATGCATCATTGGACCCTGTTGGTCCATTCTTTAAATTTTATGTGCTGCTTTTTCACCAAAGGGAAATGCCTTAAATGTCTGTTGTATTCTATAGCTATTTTATGTATTTAGATTCTTCTCCACTGTTTGCTTCCAGAGAAGTCTGGACCATACTGGCACTTGGTCTGAACTTTAACATGTGTTCTACAAGTTGTAGGGAAGACCTTGTGTGCAGTGATACTGTGGTGTCTACATAGAACTTAGGATTAATCATTGAGAATCTTTGTAAGCTTTAAGTTGTATAATTTACAGGATATGATCTTGTAGTCTCTAAAATAGTAAAGAAGGTATTTGAGGAAGTGTTTATTATTTGAGTGGGGGAAAAAGAGGGATATGGACTGTAGATTTGAGGGGAGAAGTTGGTGACCCACCATTGCTTCAGGACTTGTTCCTCTTAAGCTTTGGAACTGGAGCATCCCCAATAAGCATTAAGCATCCTATCCCTTCACTCAGCAGTGAGCAGTTGGTACTTCATTTTCAAAGTCACAGAGCATGAGAGAGACAGATAGCAGTGTTTGCTCTGTGCCAGGTGTCAACAGGCCTTTCTGGATCGTGATGATGATGTCTTTCCTCCCTAAATAATTTTTACAAATATAGTGATGGAGACAGATTTCTGTTAACTATCTTCGATGGGTCATAAGTTGAACTAGCAATATATTTTTTTTTTCCTAAAAATATGCATAGTTGTGACATGGTATTTAATAGTTAGGACTTCCCTGTAGCTCAAATGGTTAAGAACCTGCCTGTGATGCAGGAGACCAGGGTTTGATCCTTGGGTTGGAAAGTTCCTCTGGAGAAGGGACTGGCAATCCACTCCAGTATTCTTGCCTGGAGAATCCATGGACAGAGAAGCCTGGCGAGCTACAGTCCCTGGGGTCACAAAGAGTTGGACACAACTGCGTGAGTAACACACACGCCCATTTAATAGCTTGAGGCTTATTTCTACCCAAATGAGCACAGCTGTAAGAAATGATGACCCTCTCATCTTCACAGCAATGGCTTCCTAATGTGTTTCCCTACCTTTGAATTTTCAGTTCATTCCTCTGGATTTCCAAGCTCCATCCTTTACCCTCTCTGAAACTCCGTGAAGAATGTATGACTTTTGACCGGATGACAAAGCACAGAGGATGAAATCAGTTGCATTCAATTATGATATGACAAAAAGCCTTTCAAAATCTTTGTCACAATGTAGCATTCAAGCAACATCAAACATAATAGAGTAAAAGTAGACCGAGGAAGAGTGTTAATATTTTGACAGGAAGTTTTGTGAACTAGATCACTTGCAAATTTCAAGAGTCGTTGATGAATAGCTTTGGTAGTTTCTAACTTGGGGGCCTACTTTCCAATCATATGTGCCATGTCTTCTCAATGATTAATCTTTGGACCTAAAATTAACTGTTACAGTATTTTCTTGGTGCGCTTTTATATTTCTCAAAAAAACAAGTCTCCATTGCTGAGTTGCATTCAAGAAAATAACAGGGAGCGAGGTGAAGAGTAAGATACACGTTTCTTTTTTGGGAGGGGGTGGTGGGTTTCTTTATTTTTTATTTATCTGTCTATTTACTTATTTGTTTGGCTGCGTAGGGTCTTAGCTGTGGCACGTGGGATCTCCATTGTGTCCTGTGAGCTCTTTCCATGTGGTGCATGAGCTCCAGAGTGCTGTGCTCAGTAGTTGGGGCAAGCGAGCTTAGTTGCTCTGTGGCATGTGGAATCTTAGCTCCTCAACTGCGTCCCCTGTACGGCAAGGCAGATTCTTAAGCACTGGACCCCCGGGGAAGCCCCTAAGACACAAGTTTCTATGTTGTGTTCCCTGTCTTCCTATTCTAAGTATATGTCTTTAAACAACAGCTTGTATTTTGTAAATTACTATAAAGATAATTTTTCAAGTTTAATTCTGCCATATTGGGTTGTGGGAAAATAAAAGCTTCTGATAGGGTTAATCTAGCTACATAAAATTCCATGCTGAGTATGATCATAATCTTGGCCTTTGATTAGATCTGAGCTTGTAATATCTTGTGGTTAATCAAAATGACCCCAGAGCCACACATATGAAGGGGCTCAATAAATACATGTCTAAGATTATATAAGAATCACTGAATAAAGGGCTTCCCAAGCGGCACTAGTGGTGAAGAACCCTCCTGCCAATGCAGGAGACATAGGAGACAGGCTCTGTGCACGGATTGGGAAGATCCCCAGCAGGAAGAAACGGCAAGCCACTCCAGTGTTCTAACCTGGAGAATCCCAGGGACAGAGCATCCTGGAGGTACCGTCCATAGGGTCGCAGTGACTGAAGTGACTTAGCGTTCACCGAATAAAAGAATTGGGAGAAAAAAAAGAAACTGAAATTCTTCCAGTCTACTTCTAGACTGGATAAATAACCCACGGGTGTTAAAATCAGAATGATTTAATTTTTCTTTCTTTTTTTTTCCTGTAGGAGACGTGGTGAGCCTCCATTGATAAAAGGCTGGCTTCCTTACTTTGGACAGGCCCTGAAATTACAAAAAGATCCTCTGGGTTTTATGATTTCTCTTCAAAAGCAGTATGGTGACATTTTCACTCTTCTCCTTGGAGGTAAATGACATTTCTTTTAAGTTCCTTACTTACAATTTCTCACCTGTTCTTTAATGTCGTTATATTTTTCTCTAGGCAAAATTGGATTATTTGTATATTACTTTACTTGTAGAGCAATACAAAAGAAAACCGTTTTTGAGTGTAGTAATCCTAACATTAAAAAACAAATTATAGAATTCTCTTGAGAGTGCCTGGGGAGTACCACTCTCCTGTTATCACATGTTATTGGGTTTGGTTTAGCTTGCCTTTAAGAATTGTTTTTTAAAAAGCCAGAATGCATCAATGGACTTGGTTTTGTGGAGCAGTGTTAGGTTTAGAGAAAATTGATCAGACAATACAGACAGTTCCTTTATAAGCCCCCTTCTCCCCGGTCATAACTCTCCCTGTTATGAACATCTTATGCTAGTGTAGCATACTTGTGGCAACTGATGAGCCAGTGTGGATACATCATCAAGTCTGTGGTTTGCCCTGTGGTCCACTCCTTGTGGTGCCCAGTTCCTTGGGTTTGTCCTGTTCCTTTGTGGGTCCTGTTCCAAAATGTATCATGTCATGTATCTGTCATTATGGTATTACAAGAGTAGTTTCACTGGCCTAAAATAATCCCCTGCATTTCTCCTATTCACTTCTCGTCCCTTTCCCCTGAGCCCCAAGCACCCACAGATCAGGATGCACCTTTTAAAGTTATTTATTTGTTTGACTGTGCTGGGTCTTCATTGCTGCATGGGCTTTTCTCTAGTTGTGGCGAGTGGGGACTATTCTCTAGTTGCGGTACATGGGCTTCTCATTGTGGTGGCTTCGCTAGTTGAGGATCACAGGCTCTAGGGCATGCGGGCTTCAGTAGTAGTGGCTCCTGGGCTCAGGAGCACAGGATCGGTAGTTGTGGTGCGCTGACTTAGTTGACATGCAGCTTGTGGGGTCTTCCTAGACCAGGGATCAAACCTGCGTCTCCTGCATTGGCAGGCAGATTCTTCACCATTGAGCCACCAGGGAAGCCCACATTTTGCGGGCAGGTGGGCGGCAGCATGCCATGTGGCATGCAGAACTTCCCTGATCAGAGATTGAACCCAGCCTCTTGCATTGGAAGCAGGGAGTTTTAACCACTGGACCACCAGGGAAGCCCAGAAAATATTTTTAACTTAAAAATATTTTTTATGATTCTAACTTCAAGAAGATGTTTACAAAACATGAAAAAATATACACAGCAGGATCACTACATAGTCCAACATCATGGTGCTGATAGGAGAAGCTGGAATGTTCTCAAATCATCTTCCTTTAAGGCCCAAGCTCTCCAGCTGTGTTAGCGATCTCTGGCTGCATAACAAGCCTCCCCCAAATGTAATGCTTTGAAACAACAATTATGTGGCTTGAGCCATTTGACTGATTGGGGCTAAATGTCCCAAGATGACCTCATCACATGCCAATTATGACCTCCTTTGTCCTCATGATGCTTCATCCTCAAGATGATGTCCTTATGTGGCAGCTGATATTTCAAGAGGATTAGAGGAAAGCTGCGAGGCCTCTTGAGGCCTGGGCTCAGATGTCATAGAACCTTGCTTCCACCACTTTCTGCTAGTGTGAGCAGGTCTCAGGCCAACCCAGATTCAAGGCTAAGAAAAGAGACCTCCACTTCTGCCTGGGCAGAGTGGCAGAGTTGCAAAGGAGCACATGTAGAAAGAGCGGAGAAATTTATGGTAGCCATGTTTGCACAGTCTTCCACATCAGCTTATCACCTGGGCTAGCCATTCCTGTTCTTGCTTTTGTCTGTCCCTTGTGTGTCTGGGAGGCTGATCTCTACACACTAGATGGTCTACACTCCTCTGCCCTCCTACCTCTGGTTGAGTGTGCAGATAGGAGGCTCTGTTCCAGCTCCCTATCCCTGGGCTCTGATAACTTTCAGTTTCTTTCCCAAGAAAGTTGAAGACAACAGGTGTGATCTCACTCGGACCCCCACATACCTGTCAAATGCACTGGTGTTTTACAGTGATCCTTATTACCACCCCCCCGTGTTATGTCTAATGCCTCTTCTCCAATCACTCTTAGTATCTCTTCTGTCAAAGCATTTAATAAATTGTGACTGTATTGTTAATTCACATTATCTATTTCCCTTCATTATTATCAAACTCCTCTCTTGCCCACATTTAGTTCATAGCTCAGCACTGATTGATTCACAATAAATATTTGATGAGGAAATTCTCAATACCTTAGAGCTGGTGAAATACTATAACACAAATAAAGACCATAGTTGGGGCTTCTAGCCTAAGTGAACTATTGGCTTCATATTACAAAACTATATTCTTCACTTAGAAAAAGTAATTCCTGGGGAGGGATAAATTAGGAGTTTGGGATTAACATATATACACCTCTATATATAGGGCTCCCCTGGTGGCTCAGACAGTAAAGAATCAGCCTGCAATGCAGGAGACCCAGGTTCGATCCCTGGGTCTGGATGATCCCTTGGAGAAGGAAATACAATTCACTCCAGTATTCTTGCCTGGAAAATTCCATGGACAGAGTCTGCCAGGCTACAGTCCATGGGATTGCAAAGAGTTGGACATGACTTGGTTTCATAGTACAAAACTATTTTCTTCACTTAAGCAAATCATTCTTGGGGAGGGATAAATTAGGAGTTAGGGATTTACATATACACACTATTATATATAAAATAGACAATCCACAGGGACTTCTGTATAGCACAGAGAACTCAGTCTGAAAAAGAATGTATATATGTATAACAATTTCTTAAATGCACACCTGAAGCTAACACAACATTGTAAATTAACTATACTCCAATATAAAAGAAAAATTAAATTTTGAATGCCTGATTCATGTCAATGTATGGCAAAAACCACTACAATATTGTAAAGTAATTAGCCTCCAACTAATAAAAATAAATGAAAAATAAATAAAAGCAGAAAAAAAGGTCACTTTTAACTTTAAAAAGTAAACCTTATATTCTAATGAGTAGATACAACAAATTATTGACATTTTCAGTTTTCCTTTCTACTACATTCTATAAAAATAACCTCAGATGATTAAGCAGAAACTTTAAGGCAGATGGAATCATTTTATTCACTTTTCAGAAAACAACCAATTTCTGCTGACACTTGATATCTTCATCTCAAATACCGAGACACTTGCTGAATTTCTAATATCTATTGACCATGGTTATGTTTTTAAACTCCACAATAAAAAAAAATAAATAAATAAAATAAATCCACAATAGACAACCAGAGTTGAATACATACCACTGCTTCCCTTTGGTTTCTTCCTAGAGTTTGAATAAATTCCTGTCAAGAAATCCTTTTCATGTACTTGCTTCTAGTGATCAGTTGGCAAAATAGCTCGTTTGGAAAATGTGAAATGGGAAACAGTGTCTCCCACCTTTGTCCCATGATGTGATTTCACTGAGTATATGTTCTTTCGTGATGAGCGAATGATTGTCATTCCCAAAAGTCTCAAGGGACACGAATGTCATCTTAATAAAGAAATTAAAAGGTACATCTTTTCATGGGAAACCATGTAAATTCGTGACCTGTCGCAGAAAATAGTTCTCTAATTGGTTTTGTGTGGTGGTGCAGCGGAATCGTTTTCCCTAGATGTCACCGCAGCGAAGCACCACTGTACATCATTGTCAACAGCTAGCGAAATCTCCCTAATAAGAGCGGGAGGATAATGTGGTCATCCTTACCAAATAGAAAGTTGGCTCATAGTCCACTCTTCCCATGAATATTTTCAGCTGGAGATTTTAAAATGGAGAGCCAAGTATATATGGAGATTAAAAGGTGATAGTTATGGAAAATTTCTATAAAATTCTAGTTTATCTCTTATTTATTGACTAGACATTTCTATTCCAAATAGTCAAATGGTTGTTCCAAATTCCCTTGGATGTCTTCCTGTACAGCACCAAATATCTGAGATGAAAACATTAAAATTCAAGTTATAATGATCCAGATGTCAAACTTCTTGTGTAGAAGACATCAGAGTGAATGACTTATTTTTTTTAACATTTAGTGACATACTTATCATTATGTTGCTTCACCTTCCAAAAAGAAGTAATTTTGCAGGAAGTGAAATGGCTTTTAGGTTAGTAATAGATCATGTGCAGGTTATTCAGGAATGATGGAGTTAATATCTTTATGTTGAGCCAGTTCCTAAACAAAGGAGGACAATGAAATGTTTGGTAAAGAATATATTAAAAAATTTGACCCCATTTGAAATTTACTGCTCAAAAGGATGATTTTGTATATTTATAAACACACACACATATATTATTTTGCAGAAGTGAGCTTCATTTTGACATTTATTCTTTGAAATTCTTTAAATCAATATTTCACATCAGCTGCTGATAGCTTTCCTTTCTCTTTTGAAAACATGGCAAAAGATATTGTTTCTATCTTGTGATCTTTGTTAACTAGACAAGTTGCCTGTTGACACTCGGCATTCACTTACATAAAAGCACACCGGAACAAAAGTTAATTTTGCTCCAAGAATCCTTGGCCTTCAGAATAACTTTTCAAATTTCCTTTGTTAAGAAATTTAAATTCGTTTTATGAATGTATATGTGTTTTCCTAACTGTCTGATTAAAGATTACAAAGAAACTCTGGTTTTGCATCTCACATTAGCAGATGGTGGACAGATGGTTTAAATTAATATTAATTTTGGAAAACTTAGCTTAAATTGTTTATACTGAAGATTAAAAGTTGGAAAGCCAGCTAGCATCACCAGTGTTATTAGTACTTCCAAACCCACTTGAAAAGTAAAATCCAGAAAATCAAAATGTCTTACTCAGCAGTCCACATCTTATTTGGAAAAGAGAGTCAGTAAAGCATAATGCCTTGATATTGAAGAAAATCGAAATAAGAAATGAGAAAAAATATAGATCCTGGAGTGTAAAGAGCCTTGGAAAGAGTGAGAATTTTATCTACAAATAAATTGCATTAAACTGATCAGTAATGTTTTAAAAAAGAACCTATGTGACAACTGCCTATTAAAAAATAAGCAGTTATTAAAAATCAATTAATACTTGGCTGCTAATCAGACACTGTTTTCCACATTTAGCTTTTACTGTTTTTATTTGATATTAACCTCATAATTTCTTCCCATTTCCTCACCCTCAAGGTGAGATAGAGAAAGGGAGTGAGAGGGAATACATATATATTCATGATGAATTATAGATAAAAATCTCTAAAGTACATGAAGTACTTCAATAAGTCTGTGACTAGTGGCTTCTACTGCCATGACTGAATACAGTTTTGTCTTTCTGCTTAGATTTTGATGAATACAGACAATTGGTAACAAAAAATTCCAACTATTCTCTAAAAGTTATGTTTTACAAACAGCCTTTTATACATTCTCTGAATTTTAGTGACGAATTTAAAATAACTCTGTAAAGATATGTAGCAAAATCCTTTCATTTAGAGAAAAGTATGAATCACCACCTGTGAAAATACACAGTCTTGCCTAAAATTATATCTTTTGCAACATAAGAGAATTGACTCTTTTTTTCAATTATTTGTCAGGCAGATGCTGGTAATTTTATTTAATTAAGCTGCTATGGTAAAGCAGGTGTCATAAAATATGCCCAAATCCAGTTGAATCAGTTTTGCTCTCCTGGGGGGTTGGGAATCCAGTTTATTTTGTAGATATAACTTTGGGATCTGATCAGAATGAGTAGTCACTCGAGTTTTACCCTCATTCCTGAATTGGCCCACTTTATTAACTAAATCAAGGGAAATAAAGTGAATACAATTCAAGTCATATGATTTATTTTTAGGGAAAAAGCTGTAGCACATGTGTATTTATGTACACTAAAGCCTTAAAATATGCCTTAAGACTGAAAAACAAAAAAAAATTTATCCTATTTCTAGGATTAGGTTAAAATTATTCAAAACTTCGTTGTAAAACTTGTCCCCAAATTGAATTTAATTTCTGTGATGCTGTTTGAGTTACCAGAAATAATAAGTGAGTTGTTTTCCTAAGAAAGGTTCACATACACACACACACATACACACACAGAAATGATGAAGTGAAGAGCTGAGCATAGATGATCTGACAAACTTTCATGTCTAATTATTTATCGTTTTCTAGAAGACAGTAACATAAGCATTACAGTTTGTAGGATCAACTAAATTTCATGTGTGTTCTTGAAAAGGAAGACTTATTAAAGCTAATATTGAGTATTGAATGCATATGACTTCTCATTAGCAGGAGTCTTGAAGCAACTCTTGAGTGAGAAGGAAATAGAACAGTACCAGGAAAAGCACAGTGTGTGGACTGTTTTCTTGTCTAGGCTCTGCCACTGAAAAATGGCAACGTGATCCTGGCCTTTAGCTTCTCCTGACTTTCTTTCACTGGTAAATGTCCAGGGTGGTGGGGGTAGGGAGGGTGCAACCAGGAATCTCCAAGATCCCTGTGGGTTTTGAGAGCTCGACCACACTATGAGTCTGTACCTTAGAGATGGTGGTTCAGAGATGTAGTTCAGTCACTTAGTCATGTCCAGTGCTTTGCGACCCCATGGACTGCAGCACGCCAGGCTTCCCTGTCCTTATATCTCCCCGAGTTTGCTCAGACTCATAGCCATTGAGTCGATGATGCCATCCAACCATCTTATCCTCTGTCACCCTCTTTTCCTCCTGCCCTCAATCTTTCCCAGCCTCAGGGTCTTTTCCAATGAGTCAGCTCTTTGCATCAGACGGCCAGGTTCCTTAGTGTGCCTTCTTATAAGAACCACTTTAAAGACTTGTAGGTCCCGTCTCGGAGCATCTGATCAGAATCAAGCAGGAATCTGTATTTTCACCAGCATCTTAACTTTGGACCAATATATGAAAATGCCAAATGTCATCTCCTCAAAGAACGCTTGTTGATCACTCCAGGCAGACAGAAGCAGATTCCACTTCCTGCTGCTCTTACATTGTGTCCCCGCCTCTGCTCTCTCACTGTCCATAATGATGCAGTGGTTCCTTTACATCTTTATCTTAAGAGGAAAGAGATTCAACGAAGTACCTGGATGTCAGTAAATGTCGAGTAAATTCATGAAAGCGTGAATGGATGGGTTCTAGTTTTGGAATCTTCTTTTGATCACAAATCAGTATGATACTTTGACTGTGTTAGTGAATCTCCCTGACCTGCTGTACTCTCATCTATAAAAATGAAAACATTGGTATTTGTGATTTGTTGTTAATGTTGAATTAGATGCTCATTTGTGTGTACTTGCTTCGCACCAAATCTTCATTTATTTGAGTTAAAATAATTGTATTCAATCAAAGCTAAGATAATATACCTTATCAATTTGAGTTGTTTGTTTTCTGATTCTATTATTGGGGAAAAATATGAGAAATGTTTACGTAATGAATGTTGAAACTATTTAAAAGATAAATATCTTGGTAGTTCATTAAAATAAAAATCTGAAGAATAAGCTATCTTTTTGAAAGTTATTAACAATTTCATAATATTTAACTTCAAACTTCTAGGATTTTCCCACCATCTTCCATTTTAAAGGGAAACATGTAATGGAATTTTGAGTCAAATAGATTTTTATTGTACCTTGCATCTTTTGAGATATGAGCTATTAAGATCTTTCTAATTTTGAGTCGATATTCTCAAATTTCAGATATCTTGTTTTCTTTTGTTGTATGGCCACATGAATTCATATTCTCATTTATTTCTTTTAGGAAAGTACATAACATTTATCCTGGATCCTTTCCACTACACATCAGTGGCAAAAAATCAAAAATTAAGCTTTCAAATATTTACTGATAAATTCTTAAAGAGAGTATTTTCTATCAAAAAGATGACAACAGATTCTGACCTCATCGACGAAATTCATAGTACCTATCAATTTTTACAAGGGAAGCATTTAGACATACTGATGGAAAGCACAATGCAGAATCTAAAACAAGTTTTTGAACCCCAACTTTTAAAAACCACAAGTTGGAGCACAGAACATTTGTTGCCATTCTGCAACTCAGTAATATTTGAAATGACATTTACAACCATATATGGAAATGTTCTTGCTAATGATAATAAAACATTTATTACTGAGTTAAAAGATGACTTTTTAAAATTTGATGAAAAATTCACACGTTTAGCATCAGGCATACCCATTGAGCTTCTAGGAAACATCAAGTCTGTTCGAACTAAACTTATAAAAGACTTGACAATAGAAAGCTTAGCTAAGTTACAAGGACTGTCTGAAGTTGTTCAAAGAAGGAATGATATCCTGGAGAAATACTATATGCCCAAGGACCCTGAAATAGGAGGTAAGAAACTTCTGAATGATAATTTGTCTAAAATAAAATAATTTACAATAGACCTTTGAAATAAAAAGACAAAATGGCGACCTTGAGAATTTTTATGCTCTTTCTAATTGGCTAATGATAAAATGTTTTACTCTGAAACAACCCTTTGTGATAATTGATTTTTTTTTTTTTTTTTTGCTGAGATGGTAATGCAAGATACTTAATGGTGATAATGAGAAAGAGTATAACTAAGCTGCATTTACTCCCCTTATCTCTTCTCCCTCCTCCCCTCCCCCACCACACACACATTACATTTTAAACTATTCTCATTAAACAGAAAATTAGACTTCAGAAGCCTATTGGTCCTCATTAGCATGCACTGATCCTTGGCTGGGTCTGTGTCCTAACATCTTTTAATTAGCACACTGCAAATCTAATCAGTGTAATAAACGCTATTAATCTTCCTTTTCACTTATTTTCTCCCAGCACATCATTTAGGCTTGCTCTGGGCCTCTGTGACAAACACTGTTCCAACCATGTTCTGGGCAATGTATTACCTTCTACGGCACCCGAAAGCTATGGCTGCGCTGCGTGACGAAATTGACCATTTGCTGCAGTCAACAGGTCAAAAGAAAGGGCCCGGATTTTCCATCTACCTCACCAGAGAACAATTGGACAGCCTGGTCTACCTTGGTAATTTATTTTTATCTGTTATGAAGAAAAGAGGGTACCTCTCTGCAAACTCAGTTTATCACTCAAAGCTGTTTACCAAGAGGTGGAGGACACAGCTGCCTAATTGACATAATAACACCCATTTACATCAATTATAAATTATGTAGTTTATAGCTGTAGATGCTCTCATTGCATGTAAACATTAAGGCCTAGGTAATTAACTATGTAAGGTATGCAAAAGGCTAAACCAAAGCTTTGCAATTATTTGAAAAAAAAAAAAAAGTTTATGCCTATTAAGTCATTTGATTCTGAGCATCTGTTGGTGTGCTAATGCTTTCCAAACACTGCAGTAGTGTCTTAATAAGAAAGGTATTTGGGATTGAAAAAGAAAGTATTTCAAACAGACAGCTTCTGTGTAAAACATACTTACTCTTCCCTAAAATGGTGTCTTTTTTAGGCAGAGATTAGGATGTCATATACAGCTTATAGTGTATAATTCTCCAAAACTTAGTAAGAGTGATTTTCCCTGGGAATTCATGATTTAAACGTACTTGGGGAAAAAAAAAAAAAATGAAGGAAGAAACGGAGGGAGTGAAGGAGGGAAAAGAGCAGGCTACAACTACAGACTACTTCATGTGAAATGTCCATGTATATAAGAGTCACTGATTCATGAGATATGTGTGGTCACCCTTTCAGATATGTTTGAGGTCAGAAGTGACTAAGTTGCTTTTAAACATCTATGTAGGTCTGTGTGCCAGTAACAATGAGCATTTGATGACAATGGATTCTCCTTTCCCAGTTTTGATAAGATGACTGTCATTATGTAAATAAATTTTAATTCCCAAAGTTAAATTCCACATCAGCGAATTATTTGCTGGGTTTATTTATTTATTTTTTTTTTGTATTGACCTTTCATCCTGTAGCTTTCTTTACACTCTATTCCCGGTCCCTTTGGACAAAGATGTTTGTTGTTTCACTCCTTTGACAATGTAACAAGTATTTTAGCCCACATTAGTCTACATTTTTTTCATATTTTTTAAATATGTTCCAGGTTCTTTGATGGGGACTTCTGAGAGTAGAGGCCCTACAGGTCTTGATCAGTGTTGACCACCAGTTGACATTAAAAAGACTGGTCCAAGTGTTTGAGAGATTGTTCCCCCTGGTTAGGATAAGACCCATCAGAGGCAATAGCAGGAAACTTGCCTTGTAGTGACAGTTGGCTAGCTTATTCAGTCATGCTGTTTTTAGCATATATTATCAAAGTAATTTTATATTTGCTTGGAGAAGGAAAATAGCCCCAGCATTATTAAAATATGAACATTTTTTTCTTTTTCAGAATTACTGGGGACCAAATGCACAAATGGGGCTTCCCTGGTAGCTTAGATGGTTAAGAATTTGCCTGCAATGCAGGAGACCCAGGTTTGATCCCTGGGTCAGGAACGCCACCTGGAGAAGGGAATGACTATCCACTCCAGTATTTTTGCCTGGAGAATCCCATGGACAGAGGAGCCTGGTGGCTATAGTCCATGGGGTCACAAAGAATCAGACCTGACTGAGCAGCTAACACCCTTTCTTCAAATGCACAAAATTTGCATCAAGTTCTGTGTAGTTGCTTTCACATGGATCTACAGTATTTTCTGGGTAGAAGATTTATGGTTCCTATGAAGATCAAGGTTGCATTTCCCATAAATTCAAGTAATTTATATTGCATTTTATGAATCAGATGATATATACTGGGAAATAAAGCAAATAAACTTTAAGGAATATATGTTTGTATCCAGTACAATTTAGTTGAAATTCATCAGCTCTCTTTTTACTCTCAACTTCTCACTATTCAAAGAAAAGATTATTTTAAAATTGTGCTATTAGAGTTGACAGGGCTTTCCGGGTGACTCAGTGGTAAAGAATCCACCTTCCAATGCAGGAAATGTGGCTTTGATACCTGGGTTGGGAAGATCCCCCGGAGGAGGAAATGGCAACCCACTCCAATATTTCTTGCCTGGAAAGCAGCATGGACAGAGGAGCATGGTAGTCTATAGTCTTTGGGATCCCAAAGAGTTGGAAATGACTTAGCGACTGAACAACAAAAACGTTAGAGCAGGCAAGTTTAAATTTATTCGAGCAGAATAAATGGCAAGTTCCAGAGCCATGACTGGGGCCATTAAAGTCCATCACTAGAGTAGAGACCTCAGCATTCACTCATCATCAATGAATGGACCACCACCGACCCCAAATGCCTGGAGATCCACCTGAGAACAGGCAGCACCTTCAGTGACCTAGAAGGTAAACTCTGTTCATGACAGTCTCAGGTAGCAGCAGAGGCCAGTGTTGTTCATTACTAGGAGTGAATCTTCTAGAAAATCGGGTCCTTTTTTTTTTCTTTTTCTAGATGACAGTTGAATGCAGATTGAAGCAATTTCTTTAATATGAATAGTCCCAGAACAGATGACCTCTGCATCTAGTCATAATGGTCTCATGGGTATCTCTATCAGAAGGGTATGAACTATAAGCTGAGAGGCAAGATTTACACAATTAAATATTTACAGTGCACTTCATGGACTGAGTGTATGTGCATCTCATCTCCTTAAGAAAACAGTTTTATGTATCCTGAGTATAATTTCTTTAAAGAAAGATATCTTGAATTTTTATTATTGTAAGAAAAAGTATTGCAAGGATGAAAGGAATGCTAATTTATTTTTAAACAAGGAAGGGGAATTTTTATATTAGTAGAACATACAAAGGGAAGGGAGTTTTTAAAAAATACTTTTATTTATTTAGTTATTTGCTGCACAGGGTCTTAGTTGTGTCATGCGAGGTCTTTCCTTGTGACACTCATGTACAGTAGTTGTGGTGCATGGCTTACTTGCCTGTGGGATCTTAGTTCCCCAACCAGGGATCAAACCCATGTCCTCTACATTGCCAGAGAGATTCTTGATCCCTGGACTACCAGGGAAGTCCCAAAAGGAGTTTTTTTTTATTTGTCTAAACAAAGAGGCAAGAGGAGTTCTTTGTGTCTTGATTCATCAAAGCCAGCTGTGATGTGCTCATAAAAGAGACCAGAAAATGTGAGCTAGAAGGTGATAGAGTTAACTGTATTGTTAATTTCAGGATGAGACAGTATGAATGACAATATTAATAATTATTATTTTATTATGTAGCAGACTTATTAGCTTACTTCATCATCATCAAGTACTAACTTACTTATATACATGTAAGTAAATTCAAGTATAACTTATCTAATCCTCAAGTATATTATCTTCAATAATTGTTGGGTAACAAGGTACAGAAAGATTAGTTAACCAATCTAAATCATACAACTAGATAGTGGCAGAGCCTGAAATTGATGTCAGGTCTACCTAATTCCAACACCAATCCATAAACATTGCCAACTTAGGGAAAAATGCTCTAGAAATGTACCAGAGAGCTTGACCATTATATTTCACAAGTATATATATCATGAATTCTCAAATGCAGTTGGGTTTGAGGGTAAGATTGGGGTTAGAGGTTCACATTATAATTTTGTGGTTTTTTTTCCCTAATAAAAATAATTTTTTTAAATTTTAGAATAGTTTTAGATTTGTGGAATAGTTACAAAGACAATACCCATATATCTGACACACACAGTTTGCCTCACTGTTAACATCTTAGTGTGATGTATTATATTTGTCATAATTGTGGGTGTTATTTTGAAAAAACTCATTCATTATTTTTAAACATTGTGTATTTTAAAAATTAAGAGTGTCTATAATTTAAACAGCAATAGTAAAGTTTAACAAAATCTTCTCTTCCAGTGGAGCTATACGGGAAGTACAAATTCTACTTCATGTTAGAAATTTCCAACCGGAGGAGGGGAGAGGGGCATCTCCCACAAGGTGTACACCAGAAATAAGTGGTGGAATTTTTGTCAGTAACATAAGGAGACAGTGGTTAAAAAGTGAAAAATACTGGTTTAGATGTTTATCAAGTTTTCAACTCGGCACAAAGCAAAGAGAGCTAGATAATATAATGAATGCTGGAAACAGGTGTTGAAAGGATTGAAAGGGAAATTTAAAGTGAATGCGGATTATTGTACATAGGTCCAAACATCAACTGCGTAAGAATAGGATAAGGAAAGAGACGAGTGGCCCAGCAGGCAGGGTTTAGGCTCAGAGCCATAGTTCTGGGGAACTTTCCTGGTGGTCTAGTGGTTAACACTCCGTGCTTTGAAGGCAGGGTGTATGGGTTTGATCCCTGCTTGGGGAACTAAGATCCCATGTGCTGCTGCTTTTGGAATCATCTGCGGAGCTTAAAAAAGTACTCAAACCTGGTCCCACCCTCAAAGGTTCTGATTTCAATGATCTGAAGTACAGGCTGATGGCTTTACAAGCTCCCAAGGGGACTACAATGTGCAACCAAGGTTCAAAACCATGAGTGTAAGGGTTTTCCTTAATGCAGTGGTTCTGACGCTTTTGGCCTGAGATGGAGTATTTATTTTTTTAAAACCACCTCAGGTGATTGTAAGCGAACCATCAGAGCCAATACTTCTGGGACATCAGAAAACTGAACACAAGTCCATGGTGATATTGCTTCAAAAATCTGTTGTTTGTCTGCATCCAACAAAGTATTAATAGAAGTGTGGTATCTAGGGCAGACAAAGTAGTTCCTGTCTACTTTCCCAGCTGAAATAGCACACCCAGCTCTGCCACATTTTAAGAGGCACATTGACTAATTGAGTTAAAGGCCGTTATCATCTCTGACGTACAATTAAAAAATGACATGATCATCGTCTTTAAATATTTTTAAAGGGCTGTTATATAGAAGAGAGATTCAAAATTTTTTGCCTTTGTGTTTTCTAAAGGGAGGAAAATTTCAGCCAATACAGAAAATAACTTGCTAACTAAATGGACTTTCGGAATTCCATCATTGGAGTTATCCAATTAGAAATTTAACAGTCTCTTCAGTAGGAGCCTGGGGAGCATCCATAATCTCTGTTCTGTTTTCCACCAATAGCAGTGGCCCAGTGTCCTGAGCAGAGAAGGACCTTGATAGTCTATTTATTGACTCTATGAATGTTGAATTTACATTTCTGTGTTTTAGCAGTGAACCAAAAACTGTGTCTGCAGTGCAGAGTGAAAGTAGGCATGTGTACTGATTCAGATTTATTTTTAACTTTACTTAAAATATACAATTGTTGAGCCAAAAAGTAGTTATTTGGCTTCAGATTATCTGATGATGATAGTGTCTTATTTATTGAATAGCTTCTCACCTGTCTTGAAGGCAGTTACATAAAAACTGGCACGCACATCTGTAGCCTCACTCCATTTCTCACTCTTCTAGAGCACTATCTGTAGAGCCTCCAGCCCCTTTCCTGTCCACCTTCTTTTTAAAGACCATCCCAGCCCATTTCAGCAGAGGCTGGCTGTTATTTCATTCCAGCCATCATTGCTATCCACCGATCACCATGGCTAATCAGATGGTGTGACAGTCTGCACCAATCATTAAGATGACCCAAATTAACAGCCTGGCCATGTCACAGTACATCCATTCCACACATCCAGACATGGCCTAAGTGTGAGGCAGAAACTTGGATGTGCTTGTTTATGTTTGAATTGTAACATGCATTATTGATTGTCATAAGCGGCCTCAGCGCTTTAAATCTGCAAATGAGAATCATCTGTCAATTATTACAGCCAGAATTGAGATCTGGGGCAGAAGAGAAAGTGTATATATCCTTTTCTACCTGCGTTTCCTTTTATTTACCATTTTCTTTCCCAGTCACATTGTGATGCTTCTTAGCTCAATATACTCCTCAGCTATTTGCTTAGAAAAGATACTTAATCAGAATATTTTTATATCCTGCAAAGAGAAACAAATCTCTCCTAGTCAAGGCAAGGAGACAGGGCAGGCTCAGAATTGTAAGTTCACTGTGGGAATTCTGCAGTCTAATTTCCTTGGGATACTGGTCAGTAAAATTCAGTTCTTCATAAAACATCAGCAGCCTATTGTATTCACAATTGCAATTGTTGGCACCTTGCAGTGGCTGGTATAAATGATCCTCCAAATATTTGCATTCTTGATAGCCATTTCTCTACAGTGCATTTAGTAAGTAGAGGGTCCTATTACCTGCTAAATGTAAGTATAAATTAACAACCCATTATGCACAATAAGTTTTATAAAACATTTACAGATAGAGATCACATTTAATTAAAATTAACTTGCCTATGAAAGCCAAGTGCACTAATGATCACAATGACCTTTTATTACCTGCAGTCCCTTGTTTTGGCTGGAATGATTGACAGCTTGCTGTTTGGCTACCATGTTGAATTTCAGCTGACAAGACTTTTCATTTTAACTCAATTTGCCCGCCTATCACAAGCTGGTGGCAGGCCAGACCCAAGTCACCCAGCTTTGCCTCAGCAGCTTGCTCTAGTTCTCATTAGTACGCATTTATTCAGTGGAAATTGGAAGACAAATGCTTGAAGGCATGTGAACTAAGTATAGCAAATTAGGTTTAAAGACTGAATATTTATAAGTGTATGGAAAGTTTTTTTTTTTTAAATTCTAGAGCGAATTGAGAACTGAGTGCTAGCTTTGGTATAAAAGAAATGAAGATAGAAGGGGGAAGGAAGATTCTAAGAATAACAATACTATCAGGTTTTTCTTTCCATTTTGGCAATATGTAAACTCTCTCTGACAACACCTTCTCAAACCAACCTGGCCCCTCTTTTCGTGGAGTGCTTGCACAATGAAGTTTAGCACCTCGAGTGTGAGAAGGGGGAAAAAATGAGGGTCATGTTCATCTGTTGCTTGGTTATCCCTTGGTATGTTTTCAATTGCCTTGTTTGTTCGGCACTAGCACAGAAACAGATGTTGCTCTGGCGTGTAGGATAATTTACTCTACCTCCTGGTGCGGCATGGACAGCCTCCCAAGGCCCAGCTGGTCTGTCAGTGGTGCTGGCTGGTGTCTGCTCAACTATGACAACTACAAGTCGAGGCTGCAATTTTTTTTTTTTTTATTGTGCAGTTGTCATTCGTTTCAACATATAGCCCTGCCCGTGTTCTTCCTGGGGCCGGTAGCGAGGCTATGGCTTTTGTGTCTGTATGCCTTGTGACGCAGAGCCATGGAAGGCCCCCTGTCCTCTGAGGATAATAATGTTCATGACTTGTGTCCCCGGATGATGATCGCATGACCGCTCAGACCCAGAGCCAGCCTCATCTCACGCACATAACTGGTACTGGAAGGTAAAACAGATTTGTCATTTGCGATCCCACCGCTAAGCCACACTTTGGGCTCCATTATTGTGATTAACTTCCGCCTAAGATACGCTTGCCCGATTGTCATTTGTGATCCTGTGGTGGCCGCAAGCTGCCACGCTTCCCCAGAGCAACGTCAGCCAATGGGATTGGACCGTGTTGTTCGGGCCGTTCGGTGCCTGCCCCGTCACGGTGGCCAGCCCGCAATTACTGTGCTTTTGTATCTCTCCCTCCCGCACCCCTACTGGACCGGGTGGGTGCCCAGCTCTGCTGCATATGTCAGCTACCATTTCACACCACAAGCTAACATGATGCTGCGCTGCTGTTGATTCAGCAAGAGCCAGCAGCCGCGCATGGGAAGCTGACCCCCGCTCTGCACCATGGAAATGCTGGTCGCTGGTGTCCTGCCCGCTGAAATCCATCGTGTCAGGTGCCTTGTGGCTATCTGCAGTAGAGTCCCCGTTCCAAAACCAAAGTTCTTTTCTGGCCTCATCACCAACAAACCGATTTGACTCTGCCTGATTATAATAACGAAGGCAGTCTAAAAGAATATGCACGGTCTCACTGTGCGTCACATCGAATCACCACACTGGCCACACAGAGCTGACCGCAGCCTCATTTCTTTAGACAAATGCATGCTTAGGGAAAAACCTCCTGGGAGAAGGTCCCGAAAGCTGTTAGATATCCCCATGCAAGCTGCGCATAGATTTCAATTTTCGGGAAATAGCATTTATTTTTATTTGTTTGGCTGATGCAAGCCCTCCCTGAGTGGCCTGCTTCTATCATCTAATAATTAGTGATTCTACATTTCAGAGCTTTACTGAACACTAAGAAACTGGACTCTGTGTGTGTGTGTGTGTGTGTGTGTGTGTGTGTATGAGATTCTCAACTGCAAGCCATAAACACAACCATTTGTTACCATGTGGAGGAGGGAGAAAATGCTCAATTTGGAGCTCTTCTTTCACATTGCTGATTAGAAAGAATCAAGCTTTTTATTCTAGGACCCATTCGCGCTGGTGAAAACATAGTCAGTTTTGATTATGAAGGCAGAGATGCAGACCTAGACAGCAGCTACATGCTGATGTGCATGCTATCAGAATGATTTATGCAAATTATGCATATTATTCCCAAAGGAATTCCTCCTCAAACTGCCAGGATAAATTGCCGGAAATTAGCCATAAAATCTGTCGTGCTAGGAGCAAAAGGTGAAGGCCACTGGGAAAGCAAGGACATTCAGCTTCTGGAATCTTCCAGGTTATGATGGTGGCTGTTATTTTCCCTGGACGCCATGGAGAAATCTGATTTTCTTCTGAATACTCTTAAAAGTATTTTCCCTTTGAAATTTTTCCAGCAAATGCTGACTCACATTTTATTTACAGCTAGCATAAAAGAAATTAAGTGTTAAGCTGTCTCAGAAAGCACTACTACAATTATTTTACTATTAACTGCCTAAGTGGATATTAAATGCCTAAGCCTGGCTTTGAAGGCATCGCTGTTCAGAAGGTTGGTGAAATAACTCACCAGGGGTGTACTTGAACTGGGATACGGTTTTAATTTCCAAAGTGTGTACCCCAACACAGCTTTCCTGTCTTGCAGATCAATCTTTCCTACAAAAAATCCTAATTAGTGACTTTCTGTCCCAATACAACACAGTTGTCTCTTGCCTGTGAAATGCCCCACACTGTCTCACCCCTCCCCTCCTCTCCCATCCAGAGCCCGCATCAGCTCCCTCTTGCTGCTGATTGGAAAAGGATTTCCCTGTCAATTGAAGTTATTGGTAATGAGCTTTGATGGTTAAATGAGAGAACTTTTCAGGAGCAGTTGTATTTTAATAAAAATGATGCTTGCTTGTTTCTTTCAGAAAGTACCATTCTCGAGGTTTTGCGACTCTGCTCCTTTTCTGGCATCTTCCGTTTCGTTCAAGAGGACTTGACACTTCATTTAGAGAGCCAGGACTGCTGTCTGCGAAAGGGAGACTTTGTCGTCATCTTTCCTCCCGTCTTACACCACGACCCCGAAATCTTTGAAGCTCCAGATGTAAGTAAACATCCAGCCAGCATCGCTCCCTCTTAGATGCTGCAAGCACATTCCTTCCCTCGTGGTCTCTCTTTTGCCACCTTTTTCCAGAAAGAATTTGAGAGAGTTTAATGACTCCAGTTTTTCTTTGCAACGGAAACATCATCCTCTTTACTGAGAGGTTTCCTTAAGGACCTTCTTTCAAAGGTTTTGTGATCTATAAATAAAAATACAGAGATGAGACTAAACTCTAGTTTCATCAAGTGCAATGAACACTGATGGACACTATTCACTTTAGGCCAAAATTAAGTCTTGCCTGGCAGAGGTGTGTTACAAAACCATGGAGGGCTAGCTGTTGACAGGTCACTTAGAGAATAAACAATGGTAGACTGTTCCTCTAAGTGTTTCCAGCGTGGGCTTGACTGTCCCAGAGTCCGATACCGTCCCTGCTATAGTTAAGCTCCCTACTTTTTCACCTCTTACTAAAGGCATGTGCCCCTTCTTGATCAATTAGGATGGCACTGTGAACCTGAGATTGTAAAGCTGCTGCTCACGGGTGAAGCTCTGAGGGTAATTGTGTCATCTCCTTGTATTTTTTTCTGAAGCTGGAGTTAATGAATATCAAAGACTGGAAATTAATCCACCCTGGCTCATCCCTTAATACCACTTCAGAGGTTCACCACCTGCATGCAAATTGCAAGCAGTCATCTTCTGCCTGTGCTTCTCAGGAGTCAGGTTGTTGCCGCAGTGGTTTTTATATGTGAAATGCCATGTTTCAAAGAGAAACTTCCGTGCACTTTCTGAGCAGTTTAGAGCCGAACTACTTCTAAACCTAGTTTCTAAGGTGTTTGACAGCTAGGCTGGTTTAAAATCTGGTTGAATTTTGGAAATTAATTAGAAAGGGACAGACTTCAAATGCATCGAGATAGTTTGCATTTATTTCATCAGCAAAGACAAAATATCCTAAGTGAGGGGAGAATATACGTATAGTTTCTGTGTGTTTCAGAAGAGGTCTTATTTAACTAATGATGGCAAATCAGAAGTTGGGTATTAGTGAGTGAATGAACACTGCAGACAACAAGCTTCATCTCCACGTTTGTAAATATATTAAAAAAAAATTCCACACATAGTTAGGTGTTCAATAAATAAAGCAAGTAAATAGCAAATCTTTGAAAAATACTTCAAAATTTGAAATTAGTTTCATTTCTATCTACAATTTTTAATTTAATTTCCACTTTATATTTTTATTTTGTGATTATTCCACTGTCATTAAATTTATCATTCATGTCATGATAGTAAAATCTACATTCAAGTCATCAACAAATAATAAATGTTTCCCCAACCACAACTGTCATTAAGAATCTCTGGGCTCCTCCTCCTCTGTATCCCCAACCTTACCCCCATGAGTTAGACTCATAGGTTAGACTTTTAGGAAGTTAAACATCTTAGGAAAAACCTGAACAAAATTTTTAGTCAACCCAGTATCAAAGGTAAACATTAGAAGTGTGCTCAATTACATTTTTTCTGTGCAATGCTAAATCGCAATCTCCAAACTATACATAATAAATAGTAGACAGAAGGGTTTGCCTCATACTCATTTGGTGGGAAGAACAAAATTGCAGTCCTGTGAACCCTGAGTTAGCATCATTAGGACAGCTCTAACTTGACTTGATGAGCATTCTATACTATTCACCAGACTTAACATTAGTCAGTTATGCCTGACTAATGTTAAAATCAACTAGCTAATTTTTGTTGTGATATTGTGCTCTTGAAATTAGTTGTGGAATGGTGAAATGTGATAGCTACTGGCACAGAAAAAAAAAATGGTATGGGGCAGAACCAGTTTTATATGTTTGGCGAAGTCTTACATAATCATTCATTCTATAAACATTTATTGAGTACTCACTCCTCTCAAGGTCGTGGGTTGATTTCTATTGTGCTTAATAACTTAGGATAGCAATAAGTAGATGCTATTAATGCTCATAGAACAGATGCCCATCCCCAAACCATCATGTGCTAAGAGAGAAGAAAATTCTGGAAAGTTCTGTCCTTGGTATTTGTCACTGACAGCATTATCCCAGGAGCTTATCTGAGGCTCTTATTCCTCACTGCCTGACTTTGGTACCCTACAGATATAGGAAGACCTGGCCTTCCTTAGATACAGAAAACAACCACTAACTGTTAGGCCAAAATCATGGAGAAGATGAACTCCAGATGTAAGTATAGTTATTCTTGGAGAAGGTGGAGACTGAGAATCCTCAGCAGAAGATGGGTTCCTTCTAAGATGGCTTCCTCCTAACCAGTGAGATGTGGTTTCAGGATGCTCAAGCCCAAGAGACCCTGGAATATTACATTCTAAAAGTAGGCCATGTCTTTCCTCACACATCTCTCTATTGTTGAATGTCCCTCTTGACTTGTCTACCGAGAGACTCCAGTTGACTTCACAAGACTCTCTCTTAATCACCATCTTTGACAGTGCCCCTGATTTCCACATCATTCCTCAGAGAATCTGCCACCGCTCGCTTGTGGCCTGTGTAGCCTGTGTTAGGGGGCACACCCCACGGGATCTTGCAGTGACTTGTTCGCTCACGTGCCCGTATCCTGTAAGTTCCCGGAGGGGAGAGACCCTGTCCTCAACCTTCTGTGATTTCTCAGTGCCTGGCATGCAGGCGGGTACCCAGAGAAGGAAGTAAATAGGAAGTGCTGAGATGGGTGAGTGTTCTGAAAGTGAAATTACATTTCAGTTAAAATGTTAAATCACTGCAGAGACCGCACACTCAGATGTGTCCTGGAGCTAATTAGATCCAATAGATGAGGTGGCTTGTGTGTAAATATTGCAGTACCATTGGGAGTGGTAAAAACTCTGGTGAAAGGACCGCCCAGGAGGCCTGTGAGATCATTTGGCTGCTTCTGAACCAACCCTCAGTTCTTACAAGCACATAGACCTGATTTAACCAAGTCATTTTTATTATTAGTTTTTTAAACTTCAAAAACAGACTTCTGGGTGAAGGTTAGAATTTTTAAATGTCTGAAAAAATTAAGGTCTAAAACACAACGTGGACTAAACAAAAAATGTTTGGAGACCTAATTGGGCCTGTAAGCTACCAGCATGTAATCTGTATTGAGAATTATTTTTTCCTAAATGTGGGTTTCTTAGCTTATTGTGATGTTAACCTGTCAGGTGGCACTTGCTAATGTGGGAAAACAGATTGAAAGTGAAATTTAAAACAGTGGGAGAGAACAAAGGAAACCCTTCTCCCCAGTTCTTTCTTCTTCCTTCTTTATCCATCTAAATGCCACCCAAGAAAGTCTGGATGATCTCTTAATTAACTCGGAATGGGTACCTTTTTAAATGGGTGCCTTTAAAATTTTCTGAGGGCTTCCTCAAATTTATGTCAATTGTCAGCCAGAATTCTAGCCACTAGCTTTCAAGTAATTAGTAAATGGTGATGATTACTTTTCTGGCCAAATGAAGCATCCAGAAGTAAAGCCGTGGAGAAGACCAAATGTATTGGTTGGTTTCTCTGTGGAGGTGCTAAGGTATAAAGGGAAGCTGGCCCATAGGGAAGAAATAGCCAACATTTTAGATGGTGATACATCTCTATAACCAAATAGCCTCTAAAGAAGGACACAGTAAAACAAAGTAATTACAAAGGCATTGGAGTACCCCCTACCAACCCCAAAGCTCTGAGTTAATGTCATGCAAGCCTTCCCAGTCTACTCCTCAGAGGTGTAGGGAATAAAAAATGATAAATGAATTTGAAAGCCCTTGAAAAAATTCTGAACTACTGTAAAAATTGTTTCATCAACATCTTTGGATTATTGTCACTGTTATTAAAATACACAGATCATGACAAATGTGGAAACAAGTCTCAATGATTTTGTGTCTCTCAAACTGGAATAGGGATTGTGCCATTAGTACATTTCAAGGAAACAAACCTGTATTGAGCATCTACTATCCAGAAAGCACGTTGATGGGCATAATGGGTGGTATAGATATAACAAAGGCCCCTGTCCTTAAGAGCTTATCATTTAGGGATTTGTTCTTATGATGCAGCTGTGTTCTCATAACCACGTGCTCTGTGTTGAGAGGATTTCTGCTCCGCTAGGGAACTGACACTTGCATTCCTACCATGTTGGAATCAGCAATGTGCTGGTACACCAGCACTCTGAAAAACCCTGATTTTGTCAATTGTCATGGTGTAAATGCTCTCATCTTCACTGATTTCCTGCTACCAATGTGAAGACCCTGAACACAGTGTGGGGGAGAGATGTGTACATACTCTCTTGCTGGTACAAACTGGCCACAGCATACCACTGATTGGAATCCAAGTCACAGAGACAAAAAAAGAAACCTCTGTACTTAGTCATCTTGCTTCCAGGAGGTCTGGCTATAAACCAGGGCAAGTTTGCAGCCTCTTAGTCATACATTCAAAATAGTGACAGTTTTTATTTCTAGGAAGTCATATCTTTTATCTTTTTATCTAGTCATATCATTTCCTAAACCCAAAATGATGAATTGAGTGAATACAAGAGCTGATCATATGGATATGAACACCTATAACTACTCCAACAAGACTATGTTTTATGCCTTTTACTTTTAAAAAATATTTTCTTGGCCACATCACACAACATGCAGGGTCTTAGTTCTCCAACCAGGGATCAAATCCACACCCCTGCATTAGAGGCATGGAGTCTTAACCACTATTGGCCACCAGGGAAGTCTCTATGCCTTTTTAAACTTTAGTGCTTCCTTCACATGCTGGAAATGCTTAAAAAAAAAAAAAAAGCTGTTGACTTGAACTAAACAAAATTTGGAGAACTCAGATTAGGGTGTTATGCAATGTTCCTCATTCACTCAGACCCAAAATTCTTCTCTATCCAGGAAATTGTATCGTCTACCCAATCTTTATTTCTAGCGCTAAATATTATACCACTTTCTATTTGTAAACATTTTCTATTTGAATATTCATCTACTCTTCATTCTCCCCATCTTTATTTACTCATTCAATATCTCTGTTTTCTTCAAAAGCTTGAAGATTGCTTTTAAAATATACTTTATTGTCATGTATTTATTCATTAATTCAACAAACATATATGGAACCTCACTATGTGCATAGCACTCTGGTGGGGACTTTGAAAATATGGAGATAAATAAGACAGTGTGACGAGTCTCATCTCTTGGGAGTTCTTGGCTCTGTCATCTCCTGTGGGTTAGTTTCGTCTTCAGCCTGGTGACAGAATAGCTGCAGCCTTGCAGGAATCTTATTCTCATATAACCAGATCCATAGCAGGAAGAGTGGTGAACCGTTCCATTGTGTTTTTCCTTCTTTTTGAGAAGGGACGTTCTCCCAGATGGCGCCATAGACTCTTCACTTGTAGCCCTGAGAGACTGGTCCACATACCCTGGCCTGAATCAGTCAGAGGCCAGAGCAATTCGATCACCATGATGGGTGCCTCAATAGGTCTCATACGGAAGAATGATGATAGGGAGCAAGCAGTGGAGGAGTAGACAATCAGCAGAAGAGCCGTGGGGAATCTCGGTGCCTAACGCTCGTCTCTTAGGATTTCTCTCTTCTCATCCATTGAATAATACTGCATTTAATGGTCCCTTAATTGTGTAGCACTGAACTGTGATGGTAGTGTACTGCCACGTGATGGATCCCGTTTTCATTGTGTTCCTGATCAAAGATCAAGGCATCTCAAGCTTCCTGACTTTTTGTTCTATGTCACTGTGACCTCAGAATCTCTGAAGTGAGACTATTACACCCCTTCTTTAAAAAAAAAGACTATATTTCTAGCAGCTGTCGCAAGCCCTTTCTAATAACATGGAACCTGCTCAGATTCTCCATGCCCTGGCAATGGGAAACAGACTGAAAACAAATTTTAACACAAAAAGCTATTTATGGGGACTTTCCCAGCAGGCCAGTGGATAAGACTTCACCTTCCAATGCAAGGGGTGCAGGTTTGATCCCTGGTTATAGAGCTAAGATTCCACATGCCTCATGGCCAAAAAACCAAAACATAAAACAGAAGCAGTATTGTAACAAATTCAATAAAGGTTTTGAAAATGGTCCACATCAAAAAAAAAAAAAAAAAAAGGCTATGTATGCCCATATTCTCTTTGAGCTTGATGGTACCCACAGAAGGAAAGAAACTGGCCTTTTCCTTTCTTGGTCCATAATATAAACAACTAAATAGGAATTTCTGTGATATTTATTATGAGGAAATTGACTGGGAGGTGATGGAAAACTGGACAAGTGATATTACTGGTTGACTAGAAGTCTGAGGGAGTTGCATGTGTACTCACTGAAGGTGGCAGGGGAGGGGAAGGATTTAGGCATTTTTTTTGTTGGTCACTGTGGCCTCTCAGCTGTATATCCATGTATACAGAGGAAAATTGAAATGCCATAACAATGTCTGGCTTATTTATGATATCAGCATACTATGAAGTCATAGCTCAAGCTAAATTTTCCTTCTGTATATTCTGACTTAAACTATGAGACTGACTGCAGTGAGAGCTTTTCGAATGTAAAAGTGACATCCACTGGTTTGACATAGGCAAAGAATTCTTGAGAAGAGCATGATCTTAGATTGGTCAGTGAAAAGGAGGAAGCAGCAGTTTTGAACTCAGGCAGGCAGGCCTGGACTCCAATAACGAAAAAAGATTTACTGAGATACAGCGCCAAGTTGTAATTCCATCTCTAGTAACAAAGTCGATGTCCACAGAGAATGTCCTTATCCATGCTACAAGGATGGACAGGTATTTGTAGGTTAGCATTGGTAGATTCCATTCAGATACATCCCAGAACTATCTATGGCAAAATATGCCTGCATTCTGATGCAGATTAATTTTCCCATTATGATCTCATCAGCTTGCAAGTTTAGGGGGCAGGAGTGGAATAGAAACTACCCACAATGTGTTTTAAAAGCTTAACTAGTTATCAAGATCAGTATCCTAGGTAAATGACGGTAAAACCAATATTTTTAAAGGAAATGGTTTCACCGATATGAATATTGGCATTGAGCAAGAAAATTAGGTCATTTGATAGATTCAGAATCTATCTGTGTACTGTGGGGTTTTTGCTATAATCTGAATGCCTTCAGTCTGACCTGTTTCTTTGCCTCTGGCTTCACAGTTCATGGCAAAGTTGTGTACTGAGCAGGTCTAATGCTAATGAGCACAGCATACAGGACAGACTTCATCGTTGTCATGCATGCCACGTGCGTTAATCTAATCAATGGTGTAATTTACCATGGGCTGAAATAAGGTCACTTAGTGTCCTCAGAAACTCAACAGAGAGTAAATTAAGATGGCGGACCAAACACCTTCCATAAACCAGTCTCATAATCTTCTGTAACAAATAATATAACTTACTTATGAAAACATATCAGAAACCAAGAGAGTTAACCCAAGGAACACTCATTCTAAAGAGAACTGTCATAGAAGAAAGTCAATAAAACATCGAAAAGCAATCCAGACAGACTTTGTATCTTAGTGCTCTTCTTTTCTAGTGCTTAATGTGAATCTTATTATTTCATATCTGTTTCATCCAAACATAAGCACTGAATCCTAAACTCATCCTACTTGTTCATCTGTAGCAGCCTTTCTGGTCAGTGGAATTCACTATTCCCTAGTAACCATGGAGGCCTTGCCCTTCCCTTTCCACCCAACCTTGGTATTTCAGGTATCATTAAGTCAAGACCCATCTTAGAGAACAAAAACAGAAATACTTCCTCTATTCTTAGCATAGGAAAAAAATGTTAAGAAAAGTCCTACAGAAGAGTCTGGATTTCTGTTTGATATGAGAGGAGTAAATATCTAATAACATTGGAGATTTTTGAAAGTTCATACCTGATTTGCACTTAGTTAAGTTTTATTTCCTGGTGTTTGCTGGATTGAAAGAAACCTTTTAAGATGGGCAAGGAGAGCTAGCATCCTTGTGAACTGAACTCAGACTTTTTCATGAAAAGTTTTTATTTTAACATGCTGTTTTCTTCTTTACAGGAGTTTAGGTTTGATCGTTTTACAGAAAATGGTAAGAAGAAAACTGCCTTTTTTAAAAGAGGGAAAAAGCTGAAGTATTACCACTTGCCATTTGGACTGGGAGTCAGCAAATGTCCAGGCCGATTTTTGGCCATGGTTGAAATAAAGCAATTGTTGGTTGTGCTTTTAACTTACTTCGATTTAGAAATAATTGATAATAAGTCCTTAGAACTAAACTATAGCCGCTTTTTGTTTGGTATTCCTTACCCAGACTCTGATGTTTTATTTAGGTACAAAATAAAATCTTAAGCTAAAAGTAAAGGAAAGAAATCTATCTAGAAAACTAACCTAAATGCCCTCAGTTCATCTATTTGTTTTTAATTTCTTCAAGTGTGATTGCTTTGTTTGTTTTAAAAATGCCAATTTCTATTTCATCTGAGATCAGTCCTATCTGTACTTGATCACAAAACTGATCATAAAAAAAAAAAGATTGTAACATGAAAATGGACATTAAAATCAACATAATGATAAATTTAAAGTAATTTTTTAAGTTTCTACATATTGTGATTTGCAGATGTCATTGTAAGTGTGCCTTCACAGTAATAGATCTGACACTGGGATTTTGTTAAGTCACAAATTCTTCTATAATATGTAAAAATATACTTTATGTACTAATGGAAATTTATGCTGTAAATGAACACAGTCTAACAAATTCCAAGTTCTCAGAGAAGAAGGAAATTAAATTTCCATGAGATACACTAGATGAAAATGTTCCCTTCAAGTATAATATCAATAATATCTATATTGCTGGGGTACGTTTGCATTAAATGAGGTTTGCGGTAGATTAAATGCTTCAACATTTAATCATCCATAAATGTACTTTATTACTTTGTATACTGTGGCTCAGTAGAACAAAATTTCTTGTTATATAAGGCTACTCATGTTCAAGTTAGATACCGATAAGATTTATCAGTATAAGAACACACAAAACCTATTATATATACAGCAATTGCCCTAGACATTAGTATTAGGTTTATTGTAGGAGTAAATGTTGAGATCATTACAGGATTGATTATAGCATTTGACTCCAGTGTAAACTGTAAGGGTTATGCTGTTTTGTAATTAACTTTCCCGAATGCTTCTATTTATATCAGCTGAGAAACTAGATAGCAGTATTTGTTCTTGACGCCTCACCTTTTGGACTGGGATTTGATTGGTAGTGTTTGAATTACAGCATTATGTAATGCAGTATAATTCCATATGCCAAAATGTAGCATCGGCTGGATGGTTCAAAGATTGCTAATATCAGATTGCCAAATGATGGTCTGTCATTCAACTTAGGCAGGTAAATAAGCCCAGTTATTTCATGGGAACTTCTAGTTATAACTTCTAGTTATTTCATTGAAACTTCTAGTATTTCAGGAATGTGCTTTCGTTTTTGAAAAGGAAATTTATCTTTAAAATAACATTATAAAATACCGAATCATATTTAGTAGCTAAATAGCTTTTCTAGCATCTATTTTTCTCCTTCCTGAAGTTCATGCACTAACCACTCCTTAGGGAAGATCTGTCAGTCTAAACTTTGTTTTTGTCAATTTGAAGATGCTTTCCTTTTTCTCCTCATTCCTGCGTTTGCCTTTTTTCCTGTTTTGATATCTCGTGTTGTTAAGAGGTGAACCTTCATTCGGTTTAATTATTCAGTAGGTAGTCTGCCTGTTTTCTCTGACAGCTTTAACATGCTGTCTTTGTCTTTGATGTTCTTAGGTTCTGTTTTATTGTGCTTGCATGCCATGGTGTCTTTCATCAAGTGTAGAATGTTCACAGTCATCATCTCTTTGAATATTTCCTCTTTCAGCTCTGTATCTTGTTTATAGTCCGTGTTGTTTGACCTTTTCTCCTTGTATTTTTTTTAATCTCTAATTTATATTCTAGGCCATTTCTTTGGATCTTTATATCGCTTTCAGTTTATTCTACTCTTTAACTTATCCATTGGGTTTGTTTCTTCTGCCTTTTTATTTTAACCTCAGGTTCATAGGATTGAGTGATCACATGCCTTATACCCCTTAGTTCACGGTACACAATTATAATTGGCCCAAACAAGGCTTTATTTACTCATTCTATCCCTAATCCCTACCATTATGCCCTTCCCCATCATCAGGAAATATTCTAATGTGTTTGTTTATTTGTAGGTGTATAAAACATATGTTATTATCTTGGGTGCATGTGTTTTTTAATTTTCATGAATGTCTGTTCTATACATTATATTCTTAATTTTTTACTAAGCACTATACTTTAAAGGTATATCTATATTACTTTATATGTATTTGATCTATTGCTTCTAACTACTGCATAGTATCTCATAATGTGTACTCACGATGTTCCAGTGCTCTATTCACCCAGTGATGGGAACTATGTTGGTGGGACAGTTAATTTGGGGGAAAGGCCAAAGCAGAACCTAAAACTCTTGCCCGCACCCATCCTCTCACTACTGCATGCCCCACCCTCCGCCCTGGGCTGCCAGAAGCCCTGTTGTCAGCACCACCCGGCCACACCCACACACACAGACACACAGTCCATGACAGCCTTCATTCTCTGAGATGCTCTAGACTCGTGTTTCATGCTCAGGTCTTTACCACCCTCTCCCTTCTATGGGGTCTCCAGAGCTGATCTGAGCCATGGTGCCAGCCGTCAATTTGTCAGCTTTCAGAATTTCAATTCCCCTTCATGTCATAAATTTTGTGGTTACATTTTCAATTTGAGAATTCTCTTTTGTTCCTCCTATCTGCCCAGTCATTTTTGACAGTATCTTGTTCCTTCATCATACACTCAGTATCTTCTTTCATTTTAAAAATATATTAAGAAACTTCTATTCATATCTGGTATTTCCACATCATCAGTGTTTTATGGGTCTGATCCTGTAGTTTGTTTTTCTTTTAACTCTTCCTCGGAATTGCTTGTTTACTAGACTTGTTCTTTGGAATTTTATGTCTGGAATTTTTTTTATGACCCGAATTTAAAGTTCACACCTCCAGAGAAAATTTGTGTTTGCTTTCATCTGGCTGCTGTGAAATTGATCTATCAAATTCAGATCAATTTAAAATTTCACCTTGAGTATTTTGAGAGGGGATGGGAAACTACATGGGCTTCCCCAGTGGCTCAGGGGTAACAAATCCGCCTCCAATACAGGAGATGCGGGTTCAATCCCTGGGTGGAGAAGAGAATGGCAACCCACTCCAGTATTCTTACCTGCAGAATCCCATGGACAGAGGAGACTAGCGCGATACAGTCCATCGGGTCGCAAACAGTCGGACACGACTGAAGCGACTGAGCACGCACACGTGAGAAACTGCATAGATAGGGTGGGTTCTCACCCTAAGTCACGGAGAAGGCAATGGCACCCCACTCCAGTCCTCTTGCCTGAAGAATCCCAGGGAAGGGGGAGCCTGGTGGGCTGCAGTCCATGGGGTCCCTACGAGTCAGACACGACTGAGCGGCTTCACTTTCACTTTTCACCTTCTCGCATTGGAGAAGGAAGTGGCAACCCACTCCAGTGTTCTTGCCTGGAGAATCCCAGGGACGGGGGAGCCTGGTGGGCTGCCGTCTATGGGGTCGCACAGAGTCAGACACGACTGAAGCGACTTAGCAGCAGCAGCAGCCCTAAGTCAGCCAGATTGCAACCCTATGTGTAGGGATAAGCAAGAATACCCAGTCCTCTGTGGAGTGAGGTTTCTTTCTAGTCACTTACTGAAGATGTTGCCTCAGCAAGTTCTTGCCTTTGCGCACAGGTCTTGGATTAAACACACACACACACACTTGCACGCACACACGCCCCACCCCCTTCGGGCTGCAATCTTTATCCCGTCCTGTCACAAAGTAGAGCCCATTCCTTTTGTACCAGGACATCTATTCCACCATATTGCCTGATGTGGAAACCTCCAGATTGTTAAATTCATCTTAGTAGCACACTTCTGTGCTGCTATAGCAGAGAGAGCACGGTAAAGCATTCTATTCTAACTTCTGCTTAATTTATAGGGAAAGGAGTTTAGAGTGGAAATATTCTATAAAAGCAATGGATGGAGTATTGTGACAGGCTTAAATCTGGTCATTAAATATTGTCTATGAATAGAATAAATGTCATAGAGAATAAGTTAAAAGACATGAAATTTAGCTATGACATAATTGATTTACTATTATCTACAAGTCACTTTGCCTCTCAGTGTTTCAGTTTCCATATTTGCAAAATAAAAATAATAAGGCCTTTGGATGCCAGGGTTCATTATGAGGATTGAACACAGTAAGATGTGTGAACTTATTTTGAAAAGTGTAATGCAATATCCAAATGCAAAGTTGTAAGGAGATACTTTAACAATGCTGTGCCTTTTAAATTAAAAACTGTTTGTATATGTTTGTTTAAGGGAAGCATTTTTTGTTATTTGTTAAATGATTATTCATTTATTCAGTCAAACATTTACTGAACATTTCCTCTTAGATTGATACTATGCACTGGATTACCCTTCTTCAAGAACACACAGTTTATTAGAGAAAGCAATATATACTCAACTAATTGATTATAAATGTAGTTGTCATAAATTTGTCTTCCTAAAACTGTTTTAAAATTCTGATTCAACACTAGTTCTAACTGACCTTCCATCACTCGTTCCAAATTAGTGTTCTGCAATGAGAAATTACTATGTGCCTAATTAGATACAACAAAACATATACATCCAGTATTGTGATTATATGTTAAAGATGTCCAAAACAAAATACAGTCATTGAGGCATCAGAATTTTTTAAAAACTGTATTTTACGTATAGTAAAAACCCACCCTTTTCATTTTTACAGCCCTTCCTCTAAATGTCAAATTAAAGAAAATGAATGACTGGCAGTATTATTTTATATCAGTGACCAACTGAGGCACTCATTTAGCAAAAACTAAATGCTCTGAAGATATTCAGGAAAAAGCTATTTGTCACTAAGTAAACAGTGTTGGTAAGCAGCCTATTTGGGAACTTTTATCTGCCTTGTTTGGCCTTCCTGACACACTTCATTATATTTTGTCCATTTTATCATTAAGTTTGGGTCACAAATCTAAGGCAAAGGAGCTTCGATGCTCAAAATTTGCATGATTAGCTCTGTCTATTTTCTTATGAAAAATAATTTGAGTAGCCTTTCTATAAGCTAATCCTTCTAACTGAACCATGGAATCTTAAAACAATTTCAAAGATCAAAGCACAAAAATTATCTAGGTTTTGATCTTAGTATAAAATAACATCAGTAATTTTAAAACAAGAATTATATGCCCTGAGAATGTACACTGATTTAACCTATTAAATTTGCCAATATTGCAAGCCATTATTTACCGAGTTGCATTATTAGGTATTCATATTCACATACTCAATTAGGAAAAAGTTAGCAAGCCAAGATTAAGTTCCCTGTAGCATTATTTTAAATTACAGTGGGTGATCACATAAAACTCTGTAATGTTTCTATTACTGTATTTCAGAGTGTTAATCTGAGTCCGTGATCATTGGTGTTGGAAATATTTGGTTTAAATGTTTACTTTCTTTATAATATTTTCTTGAGTAAGATTAATTTGTGAAAATCTCTACTGAACAATTTTTAAAAGGAGTAATTTGATGACACTTAACATTTGAAAGCATTTTTTAAGCAGAAGTCTCTATATTGTAAAAAGAAATCCTAAATATTTAATATTCTTGATTTTAAAATGGTATATAGGTGCATTTATGAGGAAGCAAATTATCTTGAAAAGATTTTAGGTAAGAAATACAAATGCTTTGTAAGTCAATTTAATGTGTATTTTTTTTAAATATGCAATGAGCCAATAAACTAACTTTTAAAGCACAGGTGA